CAGATGCCAGTTCGGAATATGGGTTTGGCCAGAGCCCCTCGTCGCACCGCGCGTAAGAAGGGCTCTGGGACCGAGAATGGAGATGTCCCATGATGTCAACCTCATTCCCAGGGTTTAAAGACCCTGGGAGCGAGGTTGCCATGATGTCTGCTTATCGAGTGTACGTACATACAACTAGCATAACTTGAATTCACAAAGAATAGACTTTAATTAATCACGCTTTGTCTTTACAACGCCTTGAAAACAGAAGTGATATTGGCAAGCTTCCGTTTACTGGGTACAACGTCAAGCGAAAGAGGCATGTTGAGCAATTTGGATAACGAAGGGGCAATCTCGTCTGCCAGTTCAAGCAAGAGTCTGCTTGGAATGCCATAACCACTGTATGACATAACCACTAGTGTTATGACATAACCGCTAGTTGTTGTGACAATGCCATAACCACTGGTTCTTTGGAATGCCTTAACATGATTTCAAAAATTGGCGCAGAGACTCTCTCTACGCTAATTGTCGTCAGTTCTACTGCATATTCATTGTGGGTAACAGGTTTCGATAGAAAATAATTAGAGATTAGCGTTTAGAGATTTCAATATTTATTTAGTCCTACTACAACATCTACATGTAGGCTACACAAAGAGTAACAACATCTACAGGCTACACAAAGAAAAATCATTACATAATTTCTTCTCTATTGGTAATACCAACTTCTCCCAATTATATTACGGCTAAAAACTCCCATAGTAATTCACGGCATTTTGAATACCCTGATAAAATCTCAGCCCTGCTACAATATTGCTTTCAATAATATCATCATGCGACGTTTCTGTCAACACGAACGTCGCCCGAAAATTGGTAGAACTAATTTTAGCTGCATTTTGCATCATAGCGCTCATGTAAGGAATCAAGAAAACTTTAAAAATCTTATGTTTTGTCATATGAGTTGAAAGGTTACCACAAATACACCCTTTCGAGAAGCAGAACATCCTTCTTCAACACATGCGCGAAAAAATTTGGATTTTGACCAATAAATATGGAAATAAGCATTACCACAATTCAGAGGCTCCAGGTGCCTCGTTTTCGTGTTAAAGCTTATTTCCCCATTTATTGGTCAAAATAAAGAATTCTTTATCATGCATGTGTTGAAAAAGGATGTTCTTCTTCTCTGTGCATAGCCCATGAGAAAAAACAAACTTGAAATCCTTTTCATTTAAGGTGGTCTTAAGTTGAAAACAGTGTAGTTGTGACGTAATTATCGAAAGGGTGTATTAACACAAACACAGTCTCCCCTCGGCAATCTGACGTCCGTGTCACAGATGAGGTATATACAGATATGAATCTCCCGTCAAAAATTGCTGATTGTTTTGTGTCACACGGAATTCGCACTTCCGGCGAGCGCTGGCAAGTAGAGGTGTGCAAATCCGATCCGATCGGATTCGTTCGGATTTCAGAACCAAAATATTCATTTCGGATCGGATTGATAAAGTTATTTCGTAGTCGGATCGGATCAGACTTCGATATCCGAAATAAAATGAATTAATTATCCACGCAATATCGCAAGAATTAATTATCCATGCATCTATCAAAGCATCATTCGCGGTTGTCGCTGCATTATTCGTTTGATACTTCAATTGGACGTCACATTGTCAGCTTCTTGATATGTATTTCTTGCTTTTATATTTTTTTTGGTTAAATATTTCAACTTGAATGAGAAATTTATTTTATTAAAGAATTCTTCGGATCGAATCGGATTGGAATTCTTTTTCAAAACTTGGATCGGATTCGGATTAGACGATTTCGGATCGGATTTTAGAAATTAGGCAATTGTCGGATTATAAACGTCCAATCCGATCCGATGGACACCTCTACTGGCAAGTGTCGTTGCGCTACAGACGGCTACTTTTGGAATGAATTCTTCAAGAGTAACGGTGAGCGATCACTTTTATTGATTTCCTTTTATTAAAAGTGTTAACATAACATTTTATTTAGCAAAACTTTGTTTTTCCTCCTATCTACTCCTTATTAAAATCGTGAAATACACTTGCTGGAAATTTCAGATGCCAATTATATGTATAATGATATAAATTCCTCAAAATATAAAGGCCATGTTGCACGGTGCAATTTTTCTTGCAACTTGCAATGCAATTCTACTCTTGAAAGATGTAAAATTGCCAAATACGAGTCTTCATTACATTCCACGAGCATTCCACTGATGTTTTCTCAACATATCGAAAATTCTTCACTGATTTTACTAATTAACATCTCTCAAGAGTAGAATTGCATGGCAAGTTGCAAGAAAAATTGCACCGTGTAACATGGCCTTTACTCTCGCATAAAAAACATGAATACTACTTCTATAATATGTATAGTTTTATTCCTTTGCATTATCAAAATTTAATAAAATAGTGAATTAATATAATTTTAAAGTTTATTTGATCGCCGTGACATAATTCGCCGCGAGATTCGTCTCTGTATATCTCTCCTCTGTGTCCGTGTTGACAAAAACGTCGTTTACTTAAATGTTCCCCCTGAACGTCCACCATGGTGACAGCGTTGCAAAGATTACGCCAAAAGGCCCAAAATTACAGGCAAATCAGTCCAAGAACTCGACTTTCTGTATGGCTCCTATTCTGCGTCGAAATGCTTGGTAGTAGAGGTGTGCATCGGATCGGACGTTTATAATCCGACAATTGGCTAATGTTAAAGGTACCCGGACATTTTGCCGAAAGACACTTTGCCGAAAGACATTTTGCCGAAAGACATTTGGCCGAACGGAAATTTTGCCGACGGACGTTTTGCCGAACGGACGTTTTGCAGAACGGACACTTTGCCGAAAGGACAACTTGCCGAAAATAGAGATGTTATTTCGTCAAAATGTTTGGGACTGTGACTCATTTCTCAACTGTGTAATTCTCAACCATTGTGTAAAATAATCATTATATGGTCATTAGCAGTGCATAATGGTCATTAGCATTGCATAATGTCATTAATAGTGCATAACCATATTGACTATTGGTAGCTTGATGACTCATTTGTTAAGGAACGTGTTTTGACGTCAAGTCGTAAACAAACAAGCGTATATAAAGACAACGACGTAAGCGAATTTTACTTCGAGAATCATGGAATACATTCACTGCAGTTCTGGGGGAAATCGCATTAATGAGTGATGTTGAATGATGTTATTCTTTATATCGCGAAATTTCGGTAAACTTGTCAAAAACTTGAAAGAATATAAAACGAAACTATACTTCACTATCAAAGTTTCTGTCATCAAAATCGACAATGACTTTAAATCACAGATATTTTGACCGTATAAGCGAACCTTTAAAGTTCAGAAGATATCTCCATTTTCGGCAAGTTGTCCGTTCGTCAAACTGTCTGTTCGGCAAAATGTCCATTCGGCAAAATGTCCGTTCGGCAAAACGTCCGTTCGGCAAAACGTCCGTCGGCAAAATGTCCGTTCGGCAAAATGTCTTTCGGCAAAATGTCTTTCGGCAAAGTGTCTTTCGGAAAAATGTCCGGCCACCAATGTTAAAATCCGATCCGAAATTGTCTAATCCGAATCTGATACTAATCTGATCCAAGTTTTGAAAAGGAAATCGATCCGATCCGAAAAAAATAAATTTCTCATTCAAGTGGAAATGTTTAACCAAATAAATATAAAAGCAAGAAATACATGTCAAGAAGCTGACAAAGTGACGTCCAATTGAAGTATCAAACGAATAATACAGCGACAACCGCGTTGTCGTGCATGGATAATTAATTCATTCTGAACTGAGTCTAATTCCTTCGATATCAGTGTATTCTAAGTAGGCGGGATGGGCCGATATCGATACCAAATACTCGATACTATCGATACCAGGGTTTTGAAGAAAAGTATCGATACTGGCAAGAAATATCGATGTTTCGATATGTCTGCGCCCGCGATATTTTTCATTTTGGTCAGCGGCATCATCATGAAAATTATACCAAAAAGCCTAAATAGGCGTAAATAGTTCATTTTCTATGGTGCTATAATGGTCCACGGGAAGGATGGAAGTTTCTGGTTATGTTGGTTGCAATCACTGACATATATTATTCAATGTTTATATTGTTAGCGTTGTGGCCGTTGTTAATGATTTCAAGTTGGGAAAATATCGATATCGATATCGAAAAAAACCTGCAAATATCGTATCGAATGAAAAAGCTGGTATCGCCCATCCCTAATTCTAAGATATGGTATTTGTGCAGCCTCGTACCCAGGCGCTATGTGTTGTTCTATGGCTTACGCGGTCTTTGCGTGGGCCGCGTGGAAAAGCGTGGATTAATTTGATCGATTTTAATGACGTAAAAAAACCAAAGCGCCTGGGTACGAGGCTGGTATTTGTGTGTGTTGGTGTTATGTATACTCAGGTGAATATGATGCTTGTGATGTTACTCTGAGTGTGCATCCATACCGAGCAAGCTGAAAAATTTGCTTGGCCACGGTGGCACAACTTGACCGCGTAGCTCAGTTGGCAGATTAGATAGATAGATAGATTATTTAATAAGATTTTACATCGCAGCCCAAAGTAGCTGAATTGCGTAAAATTTACAAAACATATAAAGCAGTACACATAGGGAGGATCGTTAACATGTAATTTAAAAGACTTGACTTGTATAATAGTGTCTACGCCAATTTTAAGTCAAGAAACAGTGTTAGTTTGTCTTCGCATTCATTAACAAAATCGAGAACGGACCAGTCGATAGAGCTCAGATATCCTCAAAGTTCTTGTCTTCGACTTGAGCGAGTAATAAAGCGACGGCTAGGGGTGAGTATCTGCTGGCCTCGTGTTGGGGCACTGACGAGCTGTTTCAGTTTGAATTGCGCGAGAAGTCGACTGATATTTAAACGATTAAAGTCACCAGTGAGTAGTATTCCACACCCGGGATAACGTCCTTCAATAGTTGTCAATGTTGATGTCAAGTATTCCATCACTGGCACCTTCAGGGTAATGAGTATGGTACACAGTGGCAATAATGACACAGGGAATTCCTTTCGGTAGTCGTGCGGGTCTGGTGTAGCTCCAAAGCACCTCGAATTCTTGGTGGAATAAATCAGCGAGGGCTTTGAACATGACGGAGTTTTTTATATAAAGCCCGACATCCCCGTGAGGACCGGACGTACGGTTCTTTAGCAGTAAATTGAAGCCAGGGATTTTAAGGTGATGCTCGCTAACAGAGTCATTGATCCAAGTCTCAGTTAATGTAATCAAATCCGGCTTTGTATTGTTAACAAAACATCTCAACTCGTTAATCTTTGGTGCAAGAGACATCATATTGGCAAGAGCAATGGATGGACCAAACTCCTTATTTGAACAATTGCCAGTCGGCTGTATATTCGGTGTATTCGGACCTGGATTTGTAGCGATATCGCCAGCAAGAAGAATGCACATGACTAAATGTAGACTTTTATGTTTTAGGTTGAACTCCAAGCCATATCAATATTTGTTTAAATTTTCGTAAAAAGTTATCTTGAGTTGACATCCATATAAAACCAAGACTAGCTATCAGGTAGTAAAGTTAGCTCAGAGAATATAAAGAAATTTTCCAAAGTTGTTTATCATCCAAAAACACAC